GAGGTCTACAAAGGGGGCCCCAAGAGGCAAACGTCATAGTTCTTGCCATTGGTTTTGGCTGGTTGGTGGTATTCGTGTTTTCGGCGTCCCGACGCTCTAAGGCGGCCCAGGAGGCCTCCAAGATCGCCCCAAGACGGCCCAAGAGGCACCCGACACGGCCCCAAGGCAGCCCCAAAGGGCCCCCAAACGCCCCAACAGACTTCCGATGCGGCCCAGGAGGCCCCCGAAATAGCTTCCACAAGGGGCACAGACAGGGCCTCCCAGCGGATATTTCGAGCCCGCGGCCCCCGAAAACCACCGGGAGGCCGCAAGAGACCTCCACGAGGTCCCCAAGAGGCCCCAGGAGGTCTCCAAGAGGCCCCCAAGAGGCCACCCAAGAAAATCCCAAAAACGATAACAGCCCAACGAACAACCAGGAGGCCTACGATCCACAACCCAAGCACGGTGGCGGGATGGGCCGAAGACCATTCGATAGACAAGTCTCACGAACAACCTCCCCCCCCCGGATTGAACGAACCGCCTTTTGTATTGCAGCGCACATTTGATCCTGCTTCATCACGCACCCTACATATGAGCTCGTGCAATATTAGGCGGTCCCGTCCCTTTTGTTCGTATCGCCCCCCCCCGCATATTTGACCACCAACAAAATGTGCGAGCACACCTGTTCATCAACAAGCATGATATGTTAAAAAGGAAACCCGGCAAAGCACGTAGACGACACGTGGACGACGTGCACACGCACGCTTAGTCGCGCGCGCACGCCGGAATCCTTCAACTGCTGTGGGATTCGGAAGGGATATAAATATGGAACGCCCCGAATACACATGCACTCGGCTTAAATATGTTTAGAAGGCATACGTTAAACACAAGAAACATACATGAAACTTCAAGACAGCATGTTTTTTATTTCTCCGAACTCATGTTTTGAAAAAGTGGGAAACCGAATGCCACAAGGCGTGCCTCTCGCGCGCGCGCGTGGAACTCGTACGAACGCCTTTGCGCGCTGGCTGTCGCAAGAATATCCTGCAACACAGGGGCGAAGTGAACACGCGCGCGTCGACGCACGCGCATGCCGAATCTCGTATTAAAACCTGGAGTCCCGTAGAGATTTCAATGTCGACTGCCCAGGACACATAGACATGCAGTTGCAACATCAGTGTTCGAAAAAACTGCGCGCGCTATTACAAGAAAGCCACTGGCTTGCCAACACGTTCGTCGAATTCGACCAAACAGGGGTGTCGCGCCGCACATCGAAATCATTCGGCCACCCTTGCGCGCGTGCTGTGTGTGGGGGGGGGGGCGCGTCCCCTGCCAAATAACACCCTGCGGGCCACCCGCGCGCGTCGGGCGCGCGCGCATGCCGAACTCCTTCCAAAACCTTCATCACCGACGCGGGGACATCGTCATAGTCATCGGCGTGATCATAATCGGCGCAAAATTTGGCCTTGCCGTCGTGATCGTCGTCGTCACCATCATCGGTTTGTATCATACTATTTCTACCGTAGCCGGCGTCGAGATGACACTGCGCCCGCCCGGATCACTGATTCGAGCTGAAATGCCCACAGGGAAGTGCCCAAAGGTCAGGGCCACCACGGCCGCACCCGTCGCGCCAAACTAGCTGGCCGCTGTGCGCGCGAGCGTGCGCGGGCTAACGCAGCCGCAAACATGCACCAGCCGACCCCAAGCGCTCATCGCAAGCGCCGCCGCATGGGTTTTGCAGACCAAATTGCGGATGGATGCGTGGGATGATTGCGCGAGCGGCGGCGTTGACAACTCAAAATTCGCAAACTAATTTGATTTAGCAATAAAATATACCCCCCCTCCCGTCGGAATTGAAGTCTCCCCATTTCGTATTGTTATGCGCATGCCCAGTGTCCATCTTCTATATGAACTCGTACCATCCCATGCACACCAATTTCGGTTCCCCCCAACATCGTCTGCAACAAATATGCGCGCATTCGTTTATCAAAAATGACATGTTTCCAAAATCCCTGGCCACCAACAGGAAACACACATAAAAAATGTACACGCGCGCGCGTCGTCGCACGCGCATGCGTAAATCATTCAAAACTGTGGGCGTCGTAGAGATTTCCAAACCGAGTGCCCCGAAAAACATATAAAACCACATGGCTTCGCAACAAGACTGTTCAACACAACTTGCGTTTGGGTTCTTGCGAATTCTTTGGATAAACATAGGTTTTTAACACCATCATCTATTTTCTACCAAGCCAGTCTCTCGCGCGCACATATCGGAATCTGTCGCGCGTCCTTGCGCGCGTGCTGTCGCAAAAACCCCGCGCAAAATACGGGACGAAATGCATACGCGCGCGTCGTCGTGCGCGCATGCCGGATCCTTTTCAAAAACCCCAGGTTTCGTAAGGATATCAAAATCGAGTGTCCCGAAAGAAATCCGCCGATCCGGCGTGTGAGCTATTCCGCCAATCTGGCGTGTGAACTACAAGGAGCCTCAGCAAGAGCTTCAGCTCTGAGCCTATGCAAGAACCACCTCTGCTTGGGGGGGGTCGCCGGGGTTGCTCTGCCTGGGAAGGGGGGAGGAGGGAGGGGTCCTCCATCTGGCGTTTCCTTACGGATTTGCGCATCCCCAATATGTTTCGGGGGGTACCAGGGACACCCCCCCAAGACTCTCGCTTCGGAACATTCCAAAGATTCCCCCCGCGGAAGGGAAGGGGGGGGGGGCGGTCCCCCATCTGGCGTTTCTTCGCTGATTTGCGCATCTCCAAAATATTTCGGGGGCTCCCGGCGAAACCCTCTTCAGATCTAGCCGCTACCGCCCCCAAGACCCTCCCCTCGAACCCTCCCCGGACCATCCCCGGGACCGCGCCAGGCACCCCCCCAGAGGGCACGTCAGCTCCAAAAAACGTCCTTGAAGGCTCCAAGAGTGCCCGCCCTCCTAAACAGCGTCCCCGACGACTCCAAGATCACCGAATCCGGACCCCCCCGGATCGGCGGCACTGGCCCGAAGACGTTACAATGAAACACAGAATGTTGCAACATTTGTTTTCAAACGCGCTTGGTTCTGAAACTAGTTTTCAAAAACGCCCGCGCTCGCCCTCCTGCATATACGTAATAGAATCATCGTTTTTTCAAGATGCTTCATTGTATTCGGTCAAACGGACCCCTCGCGCCGCAGGGCGAAATCATTCGAAAGCCCTTGCGCGCGTGCTGGGGGGGGGGGCGCGTGTCAAATAATACCCTGCGGGACGCTCGCGCGCGTCTGGCGCGCGCATGCCGAACTCTCCCCAACACCTTCATCACCGATGCGAGGGCGCCGTCATCGTCGCTGGCGTGATAAGAATTAGCGCCGTCACTGGCCTTACCGCCGTCGTTGTTATCAACATCACCCGCATCCCTACCATCATCATCGCGTCTACCGTTGTCGACGTTGCAATGATACCGCGCCCGCCCGAGTCGCCGACTCGCACTGAAGTGCCCGTTGGGAAGCCCCCAGCGGTTAGCGCCACCGCGTTCGCGCCGGTCGCGCCAAACTAACTGGCCGCTGCGCGCGCGAGCATGCGCGGGCTAGCGCGGCCGCAGAGAAGCAACAGCAGACTCCAAGCGCTCATCGCAAGCGCCGCCGCATGGGTTTTGCAAACCAAGTTGCAGGTGGGTGGGTGGGTGCGATGGTTGCGCGAGCAGTGGAGTGCACCACATGGGGTGCACAACATAGATTGAGACGCGTAGATTGCACAAACTGGGATGCACAACATATATGTCACCTCATAGGGTGCACAACGTAGTTTACAGCACATTGATTGCACCACATAGGTTGCCTGGCATATAGTGTACCATATCGATTGCACCACTTAGACTGCACCACATAGCTTAGCACAACATATACGTGGATTGCATGACAGACGTTGCACCACATAGAGTGCATAACATGGATTGCTTTACCACGTAGATTGCACCACATAGCTTGCACTGCATAGACTGCTAGAAACACACTGTTTGAGGTCCACGCTGGCAAACTTCAAAACAACAATAAACATGGAACAAATAAAGGAGGAAGGGGGGCAATGACCGAGGAAGGGTGCTGCTGATCAAACTCACGGACCTGCAGCCACTGGAGGCCATGGCATGCGCAAGCTGGCGCTCTGATGCACCACCAGCTCGGAACGCGATGGAAGACAGAGCGGGAGGACCAAGAGGATGACGAGGGGGTGAAGAAGACGAGGAGGATGGCCAATCTCAGAATAAGCATTGCACGTCGAGATGTATCCACCGATCTGCTCCAGGAGTGGAGTCTAACCGAAGCAGCTCGACGCTTGCGGTAGCACAGGGTGCCCACGCCTGACCGAGGGCACGATGCACCCGCGAACGAAGGCACAATAGCCCTCATCCTCGTCCTCCCCCTCCTCCTCCTCCTCCTCCTCATCCTCCTCCTCCTCCTCCTCCTCCACCACCCCTCTCCTCCCCTCCCATCCTTCCTCCTCCCTCCCACGTTCCTCCTCCCTCCTTCCTCCCCCCATACGTGATACCGCCCGATCAGATCGAACAGTGTTCTTACTGCCTCTACGTTTGGGGCATGTCGTACTTCGTACCGGGCCGATATGCGTGAAAAAAGACTCGAAGACGCTGGCATGCCCGACAGATAAATGTGGAGGACTACGGGAGAAAGGAGGGAAGAAGGAGGGAGGAGAGGAGGGAGGAGAGGAGAGACATAAGAAAGGAATGAACATGAGAAGAGGGACGACGGGGAAATGCGGAGAGAGAACACGAGATCAACAACGAAAACGACAGAAAGAGAGAGAGAGAGAGACAAGGAGAGGGAAGAGTGAGAGAGAAAGAGAAGGAGAAGGGAGGGAAGGGATGAAAAGGGACGGCAGGGGAAATTACAGGGAAAGGCGAGAGAGAGAGAGAGATACTGATGGGGAGGCCGAGTCGCGGAGGAGGAAGAGCAGGGGGATGGAGAGAACGAGGAGGCAGCGGAGGACCGGGACGACGAGCACCACCGGGAGGCGAGGAGAGGCCCCGCCCCGGGCCTCGGAGTCATGCTGGAAGAAGGTTGCTGTCCCGCAGCCAGTGCAGCCCGGACCGCGCCTCCCGCGGGCCGCGCGGCTCCGCCGCGGCCCTCCCACGGACGAGGCCGCCGAGCCCACGGAGCCCCCAGAGGCGCACGCTGCGCTGCACCGCCTCGCGCAAAGTCGGGCGTGACCCCCTACAGGCGGATCTTGGAGGAAAAATGCGAACAGTCGAAGCATAGACTCGAAACTAAGCAAAAAAGGACGAAACATCGTCCCCACCTTATTTTTTGACTACTTTTGATTCTTCCCCCTCGCGGCACGCCACGCTGCGCCGCCCCGCGCCGCCACGCCGCCTCGCAGCACCGTGCCGCGTGCGCCTCTCGATCCGCCGCGCCGTGGTCTGCGGCCGCCGCCCACCGCTCTCGTCCCTGGCCTCGCGCCTCGCGGGACGGGCGCGGGGCCTGCGCCCTCCGTCCCCCCCCCTTCCTCCATCCCTGCCCCCCCCCCTGCATCTTGAGCATCGTTGAACCGATCCCCATCCCCACCAGCGTATGCCGGGCCCCACGGGCCGATTTGCCCCCCTGGGTGGGGATACAGGCTGCGATCTCCAGGCTTCGAGGGGCATATCCCCGACGGAGGTGGTGGGACGGTGGGGCTCGAGATGTGGATGGGCATGGGGATAGGGATCGGTTAAACGATACTGACCTCTGCATCCCTTCATCCCTGCACGTCGGTCGGAGGAAGCAGGTAGGAGCGTGCAGTGGGAAGGCGGGCAGAGTAGCCTGGGACCAGGCCCTCCCCGAGAAGAACAGAACACAGCACAAGCATGCCGACTCCTGGAGCAGGAAGGCGCTTGAAGTAGATTGGGATCCGGGAATCCATCAAAACCTACTTTCAACAACCGTCGTGTATGAACCCCCCCTCCATATCCCCTTCGGAAGTCGCTGCTGAAGGTGCCTCTGGCCTAAGATGCCCCCAGCTTATCCTTCCATGTTTGAGCCCTTCGAGCCCGGCCCCCGGGCCTCGTGAGGGGTGTTCTGAAGGCCGTGAGGGCCTCCTTGAAGATCCTGGGGGCACCTTGGGCCAGGGGCAACTCAAGCAGCACCCGACCCTCCCCCCCCTCCATACCTTATCCTCCAGCCCTCCTCCAGCCCCCCCTGCCGCCAGACGCTGGCGGCCGCTGCGTCGCTCCTCCGCGAGCCTTTGGGGCAGCAGTTGGGCCCCCTGGACACTACCGCCCAAGGGGAGGCCAACACACCGAGAGCGTTCACGGAGTCGGGCGACTACACGGAAGGGGGAGCCACGGAGTGGGACGATACGGCGAGGCGAAGGAGAGCATCGTCCTCGCTCCTCCTCCCCCTCCTCCCTCTCGTCCTCCTCCTCCTCCTCCTCCTCCTCATTATGCTCCTCCTCCTCCTCCTCCTCATTATCCTTCGGATCCTGTTGATCCTCTCTCCTGCTTCCTCGGCCTCCACACCCTTCCCTCTCTCCTCATCTCTGTTCCGTGTTGCTCCTCCTGCCCTCCTCCTCCTCCTCCTCCTCCTCGTCCCCTATCCTTCTGTCCATTCCTTCCTCCTCTTCCTCCTCCTCGTCCTACTCCTCCTCCTCCTCGTCATCCTCGCCCTCCTCCTCCTCCTCCTCCTCCTTCACGTCCTCCTCTTCCACCTCCTCCTCCTGCTCCTCCTGCTCCTCCTGCTCCTGCTGCTCCTCCTGCTCCTCCTGTCCCTGCTCCTGCTCCTGCTCCTGCTCCTCCTCCTCCTCCTCCTCCTCCTCCCCTCCTCATCATCATCATCATCATCATCATCCTCATCCTCATCCTACTCCTATTCCTGGTCCTCTTCCTCATCGTCCTCGTCATTCTCCTCCTCCTACTCCAATTCCTGCTCCTCTCCTCCTCGTCTCGTCCTCCTCCTCCTCCGCCTCCTCCTCCCGCCTCCTCCTCCTCCTCCTCCTCCTCCTCCTCCTCCTCCTCCTCCTCCTCCTCCATCGTTCCACCCTCGCTCTCCAGCCCGCAGCATTCCCCTAGGCTCCCCGCGCGCCCGAGGATCTACGCCGCCATGGGCTCCTTCACCTCGTCTGAGACCTCCGCGGCGCGGGCTGGTGGCACCCCCCCCGAGACAAATTTCTGTGATGTTTACTGGGCGCGAATTGCCAGCGGTGGCGCCTCGACAGCAGTGTTCCCGGGCGGTGCCCGGAGCGACCCGAGAAAGGCCTCCGGAGATCGGCCACACGCACAGGGGCCCGGGGGAGGGGGAAGACTTTGTAAAATGAAGTCGGGCATGTCCCTCTGCAGGAGGGGTGCGATTAATGGGGAGCGCTCGGGGGGGACAAAGGTGCCCTTCTGGGGCCCTGTAAGCCCCCTTCTGCGCCCGAGACGTCTTGTTGGGGGCCCTCCATGGCCCCTGTTCGGCAGCCCTCGCTGCCCCTTGTCGGCAGCCCTTCGCGGCGCGGGGTGGTGGCAATCCCCCCCCAAAGAGAAGGCACTCTCATAGGGAGCCCACAAAAGACGTACGCGCCAAACCACGTACATGAACACAGCCCCCAAATCCGCGAGACCGACCGCGAGATACGAGCGCTCGCGCCACGCGCACTCTCAAAGCCAACGTGGATTTGTGTGCGTGTACGTCCTTTCCTCTCTCCTGATTGTAAGTTTAGATCTAACGATGGCTTCTGGCCCCGGCCGCTCCTCCCCCGCCCCCCCCGTCCCCCCCCCCCAGGTAACGGCACGACTCGTGCTGACCTCAGAACTGTCTCTGACCATGTCTCGACATTCCAGGACGGCGCCAAAGGGAGACGTGACGTGACCCCGGTACAGTGGAGGCCCGACCACAAGAAACCTTCCACAAGAAACCCAACCCTGAGACCCCAGGACGTCCCTCGATGTTTGGCGTGGGAGCGTCGCGCTTTCCATCGCAAAACCATCGAAACCCAAGAAAACCAGGGCACCCTTAATGCAAGCAAGGTGTTTCTTGGCATGGGCCCCCACTGTAAGACCTGTTTTCGACAGGGGACAAAAAAGACGCCTTCCAACTCCACCTTCGCTTTCGGCCTTCCCCTCCTCGAGGTCCAAGTTGGTGCCATCAGAGTCTCCGACGCAGGCTGCTGGAGTCGCGGGGAGGGGATGAGCCCCCGTGCCTGAAAGCTGTGCCATTCTCGCAGTCGGGTGCCGCATCAGCGTCCCGACCTGGCCTGCGCCGCTCCTGCGGAGCTCAGCACTCCTAATTAATCGTCTTCAATGTCAACACAGATTTCGAAAGTGACGACTGTCCAGCTGGCAAGGGGATAGTCGACAAGCGTATTCAACAGGAGTCCACGAGGAGACCCAAATTCAGGGCCGCCCTCCCGGCACTGATTGGAACTTGGTCACAAGGGCACGCGACACACTCTGCCCATGTCCAGCTCTGAAGGTCTAAGGTTCTTATGCAACTCCCGACTCCCGAGTGGTCGCCACGGGGCAACAGTCTGTCATGATGCCGGTACTAAGCTGGCGATGAGTCTGGGCCTGCAAAGTATGACGTGCTGCACTCCTACAACACTTTCGTGAGCGCTCTGTGGTGTATCGAGGCACCGCAAATATGCTAATAATGCCGTAATGCCGACTTCCCTGCCTGGCTTCCCAGTGCATTCGCGATGAAACCGGGCATGCTCCTGCGAATCAGATTTAAGTGTTGTTGCGGGTTCTCGAACCCACGTCGCAGGTCCTTCGGTCCAACGACACAAGTCCGCGGGAACAGCATCGCAGGTCCCAAGGGTTGCGGCGGAGGCCCTGGAGGCAACGGTACAGCTTAGCGCTGCTGTTCTCCAAGATCACAGCCGCGCGTGGTGCCTGAAGCACGAGAGTGCGCGCCGCAGGCCGGACAATCTCTGCGAGCGAACTCGTGGTGTGCGTCGCGCTAAAAAGGATCATGGGGCACAAACGACTTTGGGGCACGCCCATCTGGGGTCTTGGGCACGCCCTACTGTGATACTTCCCGTGGTCGGACACTTGCATGCCCCCCCAGCCGTGAAGTTGCATCAGCGTGTCCCGGAGGATGCGGTCTCGGTATCCGCGGAACAGCGGGACATGAACTGTTCAGGCTGGTTGAAGCGCAGCCGAGACGCCTGTCCGACGGACCAGAAGAGCTCGCGCAACACGGGGGCCGTTTCGTTGATGCCTTCTGCGACCGTGACCACGTCGTCCGCAAAGGACCAGGTGGTCGGTGAAGACACATCCTTCAGACTTCGCCGAAACAGTTTGACGACCACCGCAGCGAACAAGATTGGCGACTCTAATCGTGGTAAAAACTGCAGAAGAGCCCCACAGAGGAGACAAGGAGCCCGGCCCCAGACCGCTCGGTCCCGCAGCCAACTCGCCTGAGACCTCCTCACACCTTACGCAGGAATCGTGCTATAGCCAATGCTGGCTACATGTCCGGCCTGGACGGCCACGATCCCTTGCAAAACCACGCTAGACGGTGCACGTGGCCGTGCTCCCACCCGTCGCGGCTGCATCTTCTGAATGGGCCCACGAACACACACACACACACATATCTGTATATATATATACACAGATATATAGGCACAGACCCCGGGATTTCTCATATTACGCATGTCTTCTGGACACTCATTTTCCCCTTCCACTCATACTTCCCACATGTGTATATATATATATATGTTTATATGTATTCCGGGGCATCGAGGATCATTTGTGTCTGTGTTCTCGTTTTTGTCCCCTCCTGATATTTTGCTGCTATCGGGGTGCCCTGTCGCCTTCCCTCCTGACTCCGCCATGCAGGCACACGACAGGGACCCTGAGATCTGACGCTGCGACAAAATTATTGCAGCACCGCAAAAATCACAAACAGAGCCCCTGACTCCACCTTCCTGCGTCGTCATTCGAGCCGGATCGATATGTGAGGGTCCCGGGGCCCGAAACCAGGCGAAAACGCCCGCCGCAAAAACATTGCAACGCCAGCATTGTTTGCTTACAGTTGCTCCACGTCGGTCCTCACCCCCCTCTTCGCCCCCTCCTCTCCTCCCCCGTCTCCCCCCCTCCCCCGCGCAAGCTGAGCAGGCGAGCCGCTATGATGCTGCTTGTCTGTTCCAAACAACACCGTGCGCACTGCAGCCGATGTGCCGTCATGGCACGGCTTCGTTCGTTCGTCCGTCCGCCAGGATCTCAGGGGATGCTGGAGAGCGGCCGCGGCGCCGCTCGGCAAAGGGCTCCCCGCGCCTGCGACGCGTCGCCGTCCTCGCCGTCCTCGCCGTCCTGCCGGAGGCGCGCGGACCGCGGCCGTCGCCGCACCTGGAGCGCCAGACAGCTGCACGCCCGCCACCGTGTACGACGAAGCCAGGACGAGGTGAGTTCGGGTGAGGACACATCGAGTCCTCGAACCCTCCCCACCCCAGCCAGATTCCACCCCACGGGGCCACGCTCAGTATGCAAGAACCACGCCCCCGGGAGGGAATTCTGTACACCACAAACCCACGACAAGGACTCTCGCCCACCCCCTGGGGCTTTTGGGCATGGTATATATACTTTCGAGCGCATCGAGAATCGCTGAGTTCCGGCAGCCCTGGAGGATGTCTCAGGTGCCGCGGCCTTCTCAGAGCGTTCCGGAACGCTCTGAAACGGATTCATCCTCGTCTTAGCCCCGTCCGCCACCGTGCTTGCGAGGCACGAGCTGGAGTGTCCTCAGGTGGGTGGCGCCATCCGAACCTTAACCCCATCCGCCATCGCTTCTCCTGAGTCGACGGGGGGCGGGGGCAGGGTTCGGATTTCGCCACGTGTTCGTCGAATTCCGAACCCTACCCCCGCCGCCCATCGAATTACCTGAATCGTTGATCTGCGAGGGTAGGGTGCGGATTTCGCCGCCGATCAGGTCCCTTGCTCAATCCCTTGAGCCCCAGTCCTCAGTCCTGAATCCTGGGGATCTTGTCAAGGGCCCGGGTCACAGTTCCTCAAATCTCCCGGGCCTTCCGGCGCGGCCGGGGCGTCTTCCCGCATGGCGCCTTCGGATCCAAAACGGACCAAATACGGGCCATAAGGCCTCTGACCTACAACCATGGCGCAGTGGCGGAATGGGCCGAAGGCCATTCGATAAATATATGTATATAGGATATGCCAGAAAGTAAAACAATGACTATATATATGTATATATATATATATATATATATATATATACTAGGACCATCGAGCGCGCTTCGCGCGCGCTCAGGTTCTAGCAGGCCCCAGGCCTTGACGAAGAATTCACTGCTCCACTAAAGTAGTGGACCACAGTCCACGCATGCCAATCTGCATTCCAAAAGGCCTTCGAGGAAAATGGTTGTGTAGGGGGGCGGAAGCCGTATGAATCGGGTTCTTAGAAGGCCTTCTGGGAGCATGGGTTTGGGGGGCGTCTTGGGGAGCCTGTTGGGGCGTGCCGTCGTCGTCGTCGTCGTCGTCGTCGTCGTCGTCGTCGTCGTCGTCGTAATGTCGTCGCCGACTATTGGGGCGAGTCGTCGTCGTCGTCGTCGGCGGCGGCGGCGTCGTCGGCGTCGTCGGCGTCGTTGTCGTCGTCGTCGTATTCGTCGTCGTATTCGTCGTGTCGTCGTCGGTTCAAGAAGGCACTTAGGGCAACTTTGTGCGACACGATCTGCGGAGGGCCGCGAGAAGGCGATCAGTCATGTTCCCAATCAACAACTTCCCAAACAAAACTCCTGTAGCATGATGGTACTTCGAAGCCTCCGGAGACTCGCAGACCCATGATGAATCATGTCCCCGAAGGCCTTCTGGGGACATGGTTGTTGGGGTGTGCTGGGGGTCTCTTGGGCGTTCCCGCGTTGGGTTCAGATCCCAACCGGTCGCGTGAGATCCCAACCGGACGGTTCAGATCCCAACCGTCTTAAACACCAGGCACGGTCAGATCCCAACCGAGGAGGAAGCGAATAAAGAAAACATATTGACATGTTTCCTCACTTGTCCACTGCTATCTGAAATTGCGATGGACACCTTACAGGAGCAGATTTACGCGTGAGCTATTGCGGTTGGGATCTCGCGAGTCTTTTGCTGGATCGTAGTGGGTAGAAGTAGTAGTGGTAGTCGCAGTAGTAGTAGGAGTAGTAGTAGTAGAAGTAGTAGTAGTAGTAGAAGAAGAAGTAGAAATAGAAGAAGAAGTAGTAGTAGTAGTAGTAGTACGAAAAGTAGTCATAGTAATAGTAGTAGTAGTAGTAGTAGTAGAAGTAGTAGTGGAAGTAGTAGTAGTGGTAGTAGTAGTAGTAGTTGTAGTTGTAGTAGTAGTAGTAGTAGTAGTAGTAGTAGTAGTCGTAGTAGTAGTAGTAGTAGTAGTAGTAGTAGTAGTAGTAGTGGTAGTAGTAGTAGTTGTCGTAGTAGCAGTAGTAGTAGTCGTAGTAGTAGTAGTAGTTGTAGTAGTACTAGTAGCAGTAGTAGCAGTAGAAGCAGTAGTAGCAGCAGTAGTAGTAGTAGTAGTAGTAAACGTAGTAGTAGTAGTAGTAGTAGTAGTAGTAGTAGTAGTAGTAGTAGTAGTAGTAGTAGTAGTTGTAGTAGTAGTAGAGTGGTAGTAGTAGTAGTAGTAGTAGTCGTCGTCGTCGTCGTCGTCGTCGTCGTCGTCGTCGTCGTCGTCGTCGTCGTCGTCGTCGTCGTCGTCGTCGTCGTCGTCGTCGTCGTCGTCGTCGTCGTCGTCGTCGTCGTCGTTCGTCGTCGTCGTCGTCCGTCGTCGTCGTCGTCGTCGTCGTCGTCGTCCGTCGTCGTCGTCGTAGTATAGTAGTAGTAGTAGTCGTAGTAGTAGTAGTAGTAGTAGTAGTAGTAGTGTAGTAGTAGTAGTAGTAGTAGTAGTAGTAGTAGTAGTAGTCAGTCGTAATAGTAGTAGTAGTAGTAGGAGTAGGAGTAGGAGTAGGAGTCAAGCTAGCCAGCTCGAGCGAGTCAAGCATGGCATGCCCAGTCCCACCCGCCCTCCCACAACATAAGAAGCAAAGCTGGCACAACTGGGGGCCGAAGTCACACCGGCCAGCCGGTTTGGTACAGCTGATGCGGCCGCGATGGCGGTTGCCGACGGGAACTGGCGAGCGCGTGTTGAATGCCGCGCACGCATTGCCAGACGAGTCGAGAATGGCCCGGTACACCGCAGGAAGCCAGAGGTGGCCGGAGGAAGCCCGACGGTCTGACAGGACACCCCAAAGCATTTTTGTGAAAAAGCATTGGGTTTTTGATGTTTTTATGTTGAAATGCTTGCAAACACACGGTGTTCGGTAGGATTCTGACATGAACGCGCGAGTGTGCTCTTTGTGGTATTTTTTGCACAGGATTCGCGGCCTGGGTGCATGACAGAGCATCGCGAGTGCACCGCGCGATGATGTGAAATCGCTGGATTTGACCGAATTCTTAAGATTCCTATGGTTTTCCTATGATTTCAGCAAGAGAGCCCGGGCGGGAAATTTGTACAATTTTTGTGAAAAAGCATTGGGTTTTTGATGTTTTTATGTTGAAATGCTTGCAAACACACGGTGTTCGGTAGGATTCTGACATGAACGCGCGCGTGTGCTCTTTGTGGTATTTTTTGCAATGGATTATCGCCGTGGACGACAGGACGTCCATGTCGAGAGGAAAAAATAAGAAAAATGTTGATTTTGTATTGTTTTTTACAGGTTAGGATGGGACCACCCGGATGCGGCCCCTATCTGCCGGCCTGAGGGGGGAGTAGGAGTATATTCTAATAAGGAATAAGGATAGGAGTAGTAGTAGTAGTAGTAGTAGTAGTAGTAGTAGTAGTAGTAGTAGTAGTAGTAGTAGTAGTAGTAGTAGTAGTAGTAGTAGTAGTAGTAGTAGTAGTAGTAGTAGTAGTAGTAGTAGTAGTAGTAGTAGTCAGTAGTCGTAGTCGTAGTAGTAGTAGTAGTAGTAGTAGCAGTAGTAGTAGTAGTAGTAGTAGTAGTAGTAGTAGTAGTAGGGGAGGCCGTGGGAGGCTTGCCGTTCCTGTTCCTGTTCGCGTATCTTGGGTCGGCTTGAAGGCGCAGGGGGGGTAGACGGGCACGCGACCGAGCGGGAACGGAACGGGAACGGGAACGGGAACGGGAACGGGAACGGACCTATAGGGCGTTCTCGCGCTTTTACGGGGGTCCCCCCATGGCGAGTCGAGGCAGCTTGCCAGAGGACCCCGGCCCCGTACCCCGACACACACACACACACACACACACACTATCTATCTATCTATCTATCTATATCTATTATATAGTATATAATATATATATATAATATATATATATATATTATATATATATATATATCCGCCGGCCCCCTTGTGGGGCCACCAGGCTGTAGGAGCGGGATTCGCAGTTTCCTGTACCAGTTGTAGCTTGTAGTTTCCAGTATTACAGTTCTGCTTATTGCTGGCTACTGTAACTAAATCATTGACCGCGCGAGGGGGGGGAGGCCCAAACCGGCTTTTTAGCACCCCCTGGGCGAGTTGTCTGAATTGCTGGGGGGGCTCGAAATCGACACCCCTCACGCAGATCCGCGAGGTCAGGGTCCAAAAACACAGGGGATTTGCCACATTTCTGAAATTCGGTGCCACCCATCACGCAGATCCGCGAGGTCAGGGTCCAAAAACACAGGGGATTTGCCACATTTCTGAAATTCGGTGCCACCCCTCACGCAGATCCGCGGGGTCAGGGTCCAAAAACACAAGGGATTTGCCACATTTCTGAAATTCGGTGCCACCCCTCACGCAGATCCGCGGGGTCAGGGTCCAAAAACACATGGGATTTGCCACATTTCTGAAATTCGGTGCCACCCCTCACGCAGATCCGCGGGGTCAGGGTCCAAAAACACATGGGATTTGCCACATTTCTGAAATTCGGTGCCACCCTTCACGCACATCCATCGCAAGGCGTGGTAACCCAAACTGCGAGAACTCCCTCGGCCCTTTAATCGCAAGGTGTGGTAACCAAGCCCGTAAACCATACACGTCTTACCAATCGCCAGGTGTGGTAACCCCTCTTGTGATCAGTTGGTTTTGCTGATTGCGAATCGGCTTCGCATGAAGTTTCGATACTGCTTCACGACAGCGCCAAGGCCTCATGACTTAGCTCTTCCATGGCCCATTCTCCGAGAGAGGGGGCCGGCGGCAGGGGGCGAAACCCTTACGGATATCTATATATATATATATATATATATATATATACATATATACATATATACATATATACATATATATACTCACACATGTAAAACGGTTAAACCATTGAAGCAATTAAACATACGTGCTTAAATCAATTCATGCAACGAAAACTAAGCACATGCATTAGTCCATGCATGCATACTTGCGATAATGCATGTACACATGTCGAGGGGGGGGAGGCCCAAACCGGCTTTTTAGCACCCCCTGGGTGCGTTGTCTGAATTGCTGGGGGGGCTCGAAATCGACACCCCTCACGCAGATCCGCGAGGTCAGGGTCCAAAAACACAGGAGATTTGCCACATTCTGAAATTCGGTGCCACCCCTCACGCAGATCCGCGGGGTCAGGGTCCAAAAACACAGGGATTTGCCACATTTCTGAAATTCGGTGCCACCCCTCACGCAGATCCGCGGGGTCAGGGTCCAAAAACACAAGGGATTTGCCACATTTCTGAAATTCGGTGCCACCCCTCACGCAGATCCGCGGGGTCAGGGTCCAAAAACACAGGGATTTGCCACATTTCTGAAATTCGGTGCCACCCCTCACGCAGATCCGCGGGGTCAGGGTCCAAAAACACAGGGGATTTGCCACATTTCTGAAATTCGGTGCCACCCCTCACGCAGATCCGCGGGGTCAGGGTCCAAAAGCACAGGGGATTTGCCACATTTCTGAAATTCGGTGCCACCCTTCACGCACATCCATCGCAAGGCGTGGTAACCCAAACTGCGAGAACTCCCTCGGCCCTTTAATCGCAAGGTGTGGTAACCAAGCCCGTAAACCATACACGTCTTACCAATCGCCAGGTGTGGTAACCCCTCTTGTGATCAGTTGGTTTTGCTGATTGCGAATCGGCTTCGCATGAAGTTTCGATACTGCTTCACGACAGCGCCAAGGCCTCATGACTTAGCTCTTCCATGGCCCATTCTCCGAGAGAGGGGGCCGGCGGCAGGGGGCGAAGCCCTTACGGATATATATATATATATATATACACATGTAAAACGGTGAAATCATCGAAGCAATTAAACATACGTGCTTAAATCAATTCATGCAACGAAAACTAAACACATGCATTAGTCCATGCATGCATACTTGAGATAATGCATGTACACATGTTACGTTAGCATAAGAATGAACATGTCAAACAACGCAATACCTAGTCAAACGCATCAATACTTCAACAAACCAATACACACAAGTCTGTTGTTTTTTGTGTTGAATTTCTCTCTCTCTCTCTCTTTCTCTCTCTCTCCCTCCCTCTATCTATCACTCTCTCTATATATATAGGTATACATAACACTGTCAGAGGTCCGCGCTATGTTCTTGCGTCGGCGCTGGACAAAAGCTGCATGCCTAAGGTGATCCAGGAAAGCTCTTGAACAGAGCCCTGAGACCTTGTCTCCTCCTTGACGCCAGACGCCGATGGCATCGGGGTCTGTCGAGCCAACGCTGCCACACACCCAGCGGACAACGCTGCTGGCGGAAGACAACGTACGAGACTGTAGTGGTGACGCACCTCGCAGGGCCGAGGGAGGAACGACGAAGCGGCGAACGACGAAGGCCTCCTCCTCCTCCTTCTCCTCCTTCTCCTCCTCCCCCTCCTCCCCCTTCTCCTCCTCCTCCCCCTCCTCCTCCTCCTCCTCCTCCTCCTCCTCCTCCTCCTCCTCCTCCTCTTCCTCCCGGCAGGAGACGACGCGCGGTCCTGGGGCAGCTGCCCCCGCAGCACCAGCACCTCCAGCGCACGGGGGGGGGCACCGGCAAGCGCCAAGCGCGCAAGGGCGGCGCGGCAGATTCGTGCCGTGGCGGCGCCTTGCCAGAGTTTACATGCTGCCAGGCCCTCAAGACGACGACGAAGCTGGAAGATGAGGGCGTCAGTGCCTCCTGGATTCGTCCGAAGTGGGCCAGGTAGCCCTCGGACGAACAACTCGATTCAAAGACGACGTCATCGAGCTGGTTTCTGACGCCGCGTGGATCCTTCAACCTTGACCGATCGGCGGCGTTCCGATCACCAGATCTCTCTATATTCAGCGACTCCTGACGCTGGCGGCGTCCAACCTGAACTCCCGCCGCGGGGTCGCCGCCGAGTCGGCGCGACACGAGGCTGCTCGCAGAGGGGGGGCGCACGCCCACAGAGGAAGGCAATATGGGCTCGAACTTCTACAGGAGGAGCGGGATGGCGTGGGACGGGGGGGGGGCAGGAGGAAGAGGAGACGGGAGGGGGAGGACTGGGGGGACCCCCCCCCCGCTTGGATAGCAGGGGCCCCGTCAACGACTCGGGGATCGCCGGGGCACTCCCCACTGGTGGAGCTGGTGGGGCGGTCGGGGTATAGATTGAGCCGAGGACCAGGCTGCAGGACTGGCGGAGTCGGGTGGGGCGCGCCTCCCCATGGGGGGGCGATCGGGGGGTTGGCGACCTCGGATACCCCCCTTGCTGGGCCCCACCCCCCCACCCCAGCTCGGGGTCCCCAGGCCCCGTCCGTCGCTCGCCGCCCACTCGGGCGAGGCCGGTGGCGCGCCTGCGCGGCATAGCCCGCGCAGCCGTGCGGCGCAAGGCGCTGTGCGGCGGCGCTCGACGCAGGCGCGTTGCGCCGTGCTGCCGTGCCGTGCCGTGTCACTGTGCGGGGCGCGTGGGCGCGTTGCGCCACGCGACAGGGGCCTTGGGGGCGCGTGGGCGCTTGTGGGCCCCACCCCCAAGGCAGTAGCGAACGTGATGTGCGGTCTTGAGGCCCGTGCCCGTGCGCACCCCAGTCAAAAGAAGGAGGAGCGGGGGGGAGGAAGACGAGGGTGAGGAGGAGGCATTAGGGAGCAGGAGGGAGGAGGGAGCCAGAAGGAAGAAGAGAAGGGGGTGGGCGGCTGGGGGCGGGAAGAGGGCGAGGGGAGGAGGAGCAGCAGGTGGCGGGTGGGAGGGAGGACGAAGACGTGGGCGAGAGCGGCATGAGGATGTTGTCGACAATATTCAAGATGATGACTTTGATGATGCTGATGATGATGATGATGACGATGATGTTGATGATGATGCTGAATGGTGATGATGGATGATGGATGATGGATAATGGAGGATGGTGATGGTGATGCTGATGATGAGAATGAGGATGATAATATTGATGATGATGCTGATGCTGATGCTGATGCTGATGATGATGATGATGATGATGATGATGAGGAGGAGGAGGAGGAGGAGGAGGAGGAGGAGGAGAGGAGGGAGGTGGGAGAGATCATGGTTTTGAGAAGGGCGAATCGGAGAAGGAGAAGCGACATCCTCAGCTCGACGGAACGAAACGACAAGGTGGGAGAGGAGGAGAGGGTGCGGGAAGTGGAGAAGGGCGAGGCAGAGGAGGAGGAGGGAGGAGGAGGAGAGTGCTGGAAGAGAACGATGGATGAGAGAGGATGGGAGAGGAAGTAATGCCCGGTACCCTGGACGCCCCCACCAATTCCCCACCCTGGTGACGTCACGAGTCGCGCTGGCGCTGTCTGGAAATAGCCAGAGGTAGGTAACTCCCTGACGGCGTCGGCGCGAATCGTGACGCTACCAGCCCCTTCCTCCCCCCTCCCCCCGGGTAACGGCCGCACTCGCGAGAGGACACAAACAACTGATCTTTCCTGTTCCTCCACCTCCTCCTCCAGCTCCTCCTCCTCCTCCTCCTCCTCCTCCTCAGCCTCCTCCTCCTCCTCCCCCTCCCTGAAGCGGCGCCTTCTCCTCCTCGTCGATGTCGACGAGCACGCACTCGTCCTCCGAGGTGGCCTGGCCCAAAAACGACTCCGACAGCTCGTCCTGCCCAAGGGCTGAGACGCAGCCAGGACGAGGACAGCATCGGGTGGGGATAAATCGGGGACACACTAGCAACCTCCTCGATGGGGTCCGAATAGATGGGTACGGAGGATCTCGCCGCATAGCCGACACATCGGCGATGCATCGGTCATGCGCAAGCAACGTCGGCGATACATCGGCGACGTCGGCGTGGAGAAAATTGGGCCCCACATCGAGCCGCATCGCTGATGCTTCGCCGATGTAACGGCGATGCGGCGCGATCCTCCGACCCCATATACTCCGACCCTACCTAGCAGACACACTGACCCGGGTCAATCCAGAACCGGGTCAGTCGGGCCTTGCAGGCTCCAGCAGGATCCTGCACCCAAGCCCAGGTCAGTGCACCCCTGGCCCTGCAAGATTCTGTAAAATCCAGCGCTCTGGCTGATCCCCCTTTGCACTGACCTCCCCTCCCAAGAGCCCCGCATACATCAGGAATCTCCGAGATCCGGCGGCGCTGGAGGATGTCTCCGACGCCGGAACGATCTGGAACGGACTGCTCCTCGTCCTATAGCCCCGCCCGAAGGGCACGCGCGCGCATGCAGGCGCGCGGCCCGCGGCTCCACACGTAAGGGGAACTGATATTGGGTCGGGGTAGATGGGGTTTGCGCTCAACCCTGGACCGCCTAATATATCACTAATACAACGCCTTGGACCCCTCAGGAAAGCGTTTGACACCCCACCATCGACGTGGCGTACACAGCGTGGTAGGTTCACAATCGTCTCGTGACCATTGCACTGTAAATCCCCGAGCACGCGCCACGTGGGTGCCGAACCACTACTGCTTCGGACATCCAGGTGACGCCATCTCCAAGGTCAACAACGCAACGGACTCTTGACGACGCGCGCGCCTACTAAGCCTGGCGTGCTCCGAGTCGGAAGTTCGGGCGCCGAGGTAGGTGTCACGCGCCCAAGTCGGTGCAGAGGCGCTGCACTGCACGATTCAGGGTTGCGTACGGCCCTGACCCGCCTCAAACAATCGCAACATATCCGTGGCTCCTGGAAGCGCCCTGGAAGCTCCATGTGCCCAACGAGAATCATTCTTCTTATGGCGATGCGTCCCGTGAACACCGCCACCATCGCGATCGCCTTCCGTGCTACCATGATTACGACAAATTCGATTGGAACGCCACCGCCGCCATCGCATCATCATCGCTACGACCACCACCATCGTCGTTGGCATGATCGTCGTCGCGATGGTCCGTCCGTGCTTGCGATCCTCAACGCACTCTCAGACCGTTCTTGGTTAGTGGTGAGATTTCCCAACATTATGTTACATCGCAAGCCGCAGGCCGCTTCACTCCGTAATGATTTCACGTGTTTTGTAATGTGGGTGCGTGCATGTACGGGCACAGGTTGGTGTCTGCGTGCGCCGTTCTGCTTGCGTACACTCGTGCGTGCGACCGTCGCTGCATTTCGTTAGTGTCTGTATTTCTCCCTACCCGTATTGTTGCTCAGACGTGATAGTTCGGTTGTTTGTTGGGTGATCATGCGCTCCCCCCTGATGTGTTCCAATTGACGTTGTTGGTCTTCGTTCGTCTAGGTAGGCAGCGGAATAGGCGAGACCCAACATACATATGACCCTAGCTCCTCAGAAGACGCAGCGGGGTGGCGGATTGGGCGAAGCCTCGTGGATAGGACGGCAGCGGCGTGGGGAGGAGGGGGGGGAGCTGGAAGATCAGGAGTCTTGGTTGGCCTCGCGCGCCTTGCAGCATTCTAGCACCACAGCGGTATGACCCTCTTGGCTCAAGTGTTATCAACGTGACACCTTGACATTTTTCACCAGCACGGCCAGAACGATTATCACCAATCGAACGCGTCTCACGGCTAGCGGCGCATATGATCGCGATTCGCTAGCAGCCATCATGTACGTTATCACTTGCGGCAGGCGCGGCCACTCAACATCAAACGCTCGATTACGAGAAACGAAATTCCAGGCTCGAGGACACTACCAACCTGATGAGAACAGCAGTGCGGGTCTCGACGTAGTAACGTAGAGTGCCCACCCTGCCACGCGTGCACGTGCGCAGGATCGTGTTGCGAACATGTGTGGCTTGACACGATAGCTTGTTATGCTGGATTGTTCACGCGTGCTCATGCACTGCTTGCGCTACCAGGTAGCCTCACTGCGCATTAACCCCTGCAGTAAAGCGCTCGTCCCGAAAGCCCCCGAAATGTCAGACGCAGGCGGTGCCCCAGAGACTCTGCAACTAGAGGGTGTGCGATGAAACGGTCGGCACATGCGCGAAAGTAAATGGGCACACAGCTAGATTCTTAAGCTTCATGTGATGCTCCTAACCCCACTCCAGGCAGTCAGGCACCGCAATTTTGAACGTGACGTCGTCGCCTTCCTCGTAGACCCTACAGGTAGAGAATGGGGCCATCTCCGCAGGATGCGATGCGCGAATTCGTAAGTCCCAGTAGCGCTCGAACGAGAGCCGACACCCTGCTTCGTCGGGCAAGAATGACTTGACCTTGTCGATGTCCAGCAGCTGAGCTGGCTGAATCACGGTTTGCTTGGGGGCTCTCTTCCTAGCGGCAGCATTGGCCTTTGCTTTGGCCCTGGCCTCGGCGCGTTGCGTGGCAGCAGCCACTTGCCGCTTGCATGCAGACGAATGTTTCTTCAGCTGCTCCCCGCCGCCTTTATCGGCGACGTCGTCGATGAAGGCGGTGGCGTCATCTGAGTCAAGGATGCTGCTGAACTTCGATGGGATCTCGGCATGCCCCATGCTCAAGATGCGTTCGATCTCGTCAGGCTTCAAACCTGGTAACAACATTTACACGGGAAATTTCGCCAGGTCGCATTCCAATGTCGGTAGCCGCGTGGCCACGGGAACTTCGAAGTACCGAATCGCTTTCTTGAGGTAGAACACAATTAGTCAAGGAAGCGCTTGCATAGCGAAGAACCGAAGGAACGACTCCAAGGGGCCCTTTTGCTCGAGCATGAATCCCTTGATAGTGTCATCTTCCTTAGTAACTACCGACATGCATGGAGGCACGGGGCGCACGTCGCAGCGCCCATAATGCCTCGCGTCTCGGACATGGATGAATCCCCAACAGTGGTGCACGACTTGGCTGACCAGGCTCGCAGATATCAAAATAGGGGTTGCCGTGAAGCACCTCATTTTTAACGTGCCAGACAAGGGCCCTAAGGTGGGAAACGCCCAAAACAAGCATCGTATTCTCTCTGCCCCCCTTTATGTCCTGAAGGTCAGTCTCAGGTACTGCCGTGAGACTGAGCCAGGTCAGCGCAACGTCTGCAGGTGTCTCCGCCGACAGCAAGCTGGACGCAGCAACTGAACTCCAAAAGTAAGCCCCTGAAGAAAAATACCCCTCGGGTAAACCAAAGAAAAACTGCGACGACTTGGAAATCGTAAGCCATGTCCCGTCACCTTAGTGCCCTCCTGACCTTCGCCCCTCCTCGGTCTTCTCTTGATCCCCCCATCCCCCCTCCGGCCTCGGAGCGCTCTTTCGCCCCCCCCTCTGCCCGGGGGGAACTCTGGAAGGGGGGCGCATTTTCCGGGTGAGCTGGCACGGCAGGGCTACGCCACAATAAATACACGGCCCCGTCTTCCATGGTCAAACGCAAACTTTGATGTTTCGACTCGGGGGCGGAGGGGGGGGGGGGGCAACTCGCTCCAGACTCGAAACTGTCTACCGTGAAAAGGCGAACGGGCAAGAGAAAAATTTTGAATTTCACGTTGCCGCATCCTTTTTGCAATCTGAAATCGAGACCAAGCGCCCCTCGCCCAACGAAAACTCGCCGCCCTTCGGGTCGAAGGCCGAGTTGTTCAAGCTGAGGTCGTTGGCTGTTGCCATGTCGTCGGCGGTTGGTTTCGGCTGAATGCGGTCGTAGTTCTCAGGGATGCCACTGATCAGCTCGGTGTGCCATCGTGGCGCACGGCCATGCTTGCTGTTCCCGTTCTCCCATTGGGCTGCGGTCAGCGCCCGATGGGCCAGCTCAGACGGCGCTGAAGTGAGTGGACAATTGGCAATGTCTTGCAGTTCGCGGATAGCCTGACCTGGAAAATTGATGGAGTCCGATTCAGCTGCCCCCACCAAGTACTCCCTCGACAACAAGTTCCTCGGCCACATCGCCTCGTGCAACGTGTCGTGCACCTCCTTCTCAGTCGCAGGCAAGTTCTCAAACGTCTCAAGCATCTGCCCAAACTTCCTGACTCATCTCATCGTTGCATCGCGGTGGTCGTCGGACTTGAGACTGGCCATGAACGCGCAGGGGGGGGGGGGGGGGGCTCGCAACCAAAAATGAAGTTGGCCTGATCTAATTCGCCACAAACCGCCACGCAAACCCAAACAACGCCTGGACAACAAGTGCGTCCTCCTGCAGAGCATCTGGGTCGAGCGCGTCGCCCTGACGCAAGAAGCCGCACTTGCTCAAGACATCGTCGTCGCCTAGCATGCCGAACGCAGCGTGGAAAGCCTTCTTTGCCCCCAGGAGGCCATGCCGGTGTTCGCGTTGAAGCATCTCATCGCTGGACTTCGGCTCGTGATGTCTTCCATCATTTGATCCTCCACTGGGCCCTGGACCCGCATGAGCCCGATGGCGAATTGGTGGGGCACCCGCATCGACAGGATCGTAGCAACGACTCCAATGGACCCTCCTTGCTTCCTGAAGTCCTTCACCTGGTCGGCCCCCATGGTTGCCATCGTGCTCGTGAGGTCCAGGGGTACTGGGGCGCCCGCCTTGATATCAGGGCAGTCATCAAATGCGTTGTCCAGGTGGATGTCCGCCAGAACGTGGCCTGCGCACTTGTCAACCACACCCCCTTGTGAACATAAGGTAGGAGATGACTAAATGCAAAATGTCGAAACTGGGCATGTAGGGGGGGGCCGATGCGGGCTGTGCCACTGGGGCCTTCGGTGGAGCCCCTATGGTCCCATGGGGCCCCGAAGCGCTGCCCTGGGAAGGGGGGAACCGCATGCGGGCTGTGCCACTGGGGCCTCCGGTGGAGCCCCCATACGGGGCTACGAAACGAGCGAGGGGCGCGCCGAGAGCAGAGGCAACGAGGGGGAGCAGGGAGGAAGGAGAAGGAGAAGCTGGAGGAGGAACGCGGGGCGCTGTCCCTTCAAAACGAAGACCCAACACCGCAGGATGGTTGGGAAGAAACTCGACTTGCGGGAGAATCCGTTCGAAGCACCGTCGAGCACATTGATCAGCATCGGCCGCGCGTCGCCCCAAGGGACCCCCAGTCGAGCGCCAGTCGTCTCTGTGTTGATGATGCAAGAACGGCGGCTCAGCCCTTCAGAATTCATCTGCGCGCCCTCGGGCAGTGCGCTGACAGGGGTGAAATAACGCATGTCGTATTCACCTAATTTCCCAACGCGCCCATGCAACGATTGAGCATGCTCGATGCCTCCAACGGGCGGGCAATGACGGAGCTGGCGGTCTAATCAACTCAGGTGCGCTTTGTTTGATTCGCATGTTTCCAAGAGGCTGCCGATGGATTTCGCGTTTTAATTTCGGAAGAACGCGCGAGCCATAGCGTTGAATTCGGTCACGGCATCATCCGCGAGACAACCCCTGCTGTTAGCAGCTTGGCCAAACCACGATGGCAGCACCCTGGAACGCAAAAGCAAGGAGGAGGCCAAGGAGGGGCACGGCCCGGAATTGGAGGATAATGGTTTCGAAAAAGGAGGAGGGCCCAGGACAGAGGAAGAGCTTAAGAGGCGGGGGCAGTCACTCGTGCCTAATAATGACTAACGTTTTGCTTTCCGCACGCAGACATCAAAACGCGACTCGCGCCCCCCCCCCCCGCCCCACCCCGCCCCGCCGCGCCCAGCCCCAAGCGCACGCGCACACGCACACGCGTTGTTTTGTACGATGCCGAACGCGCTATATGCAACATGTGACTCAGGATATTCTCCCTGGTAAATAGTGAATCAAGTTCTTTGTTTGTGACCCGCAAATTGGCTGGCCAACCTGGTGCCCCGGGGGCGGGCCAAGGGCCGTTCGCGAGCAGTTCTCCACGGGCCACCGCCGGCGTCTGACCAGGCCGAGTAGTCGCGAAGCCCCTCCCCGTCTACAGGCGCGCGCCTAGTAGACGCGGCACGCTGCCCCCCGCCCCCCCGAGACGCATCGCGAGTGGGTCTAACAATGGTGGTCCGACACCTCGACATATATGCGCCAAGTACCTGGTGGTCTCGACACCTGGACAATGGGGGTCCGACAATGGTGGGTCTAACAATGGTGGTCTCGACACCTCGACAATGGTGGTCCGACACCTCGACGATTCAGCCCCCCCCACTCCCGACTGATGCAGGCCCAGTAGGCGCAGCAACTCAGGCAGCCCCCCCTTCCGCAGATGCACGCCGAATTGGCGAGACAACTAAAGGAGGGGGGCGAGAAAGGCGCGCTGAGTAGGCGTCACAAGTGACCCCATCGCCCCTCCCCAATCAGAAGGGGGGGCGTGCTTCTAACAAGGCTGAAACATGGGAAGTGCAAGTGGCAGGGCTGGTCCACTGCGGGGCCTGGCATCGACCCGTCGACGCCAGCGAGGTTTGCAGTCAGGACCCGACCCTGCCAACCGGACCCCATGCGGCCTATGGAGGAAGGAGGGGGGCGAGGGGGGTGAATGGGGATGGGGGCGAGGGGGGGGAAGGGGGGGGGGGGGGGGGCGAGGATACTACGCCTCCCTCTACTCCATCTCGGTTCCTCCCCATCATTCCCCCCATCTCCCCCCCCCCCTCCCCTCCTCATGTTGGTTGCCCCCGCTATAGCTGGAATGCCACAGGCGTGCTCATAGTTGCCGGCGGCTCCTCCGCCTCGGCAACGAGCGCAGCTTGGACGCTCTCGGCCCATGGCCACTCGCATCCTCGAACAAGCACGCGACTCCCAGGCAAGTAAGTTGACGAAGTGCCCGAGCTCGCTCCCGCGCGTGCTTCAGGCCCCAGTCGCCCGCGGCACTCGTGACAGATGCGTGCAGAATACGCGCGCATCTGCGACAAGATCCACCTGCGCGATCAGTGGCTGCACTACTGAAGGCCAACGTCAAGTCGCCATCAACTCGCCGACGATTGCCTTTCGGCGCGGTGAGTCCAGCGCTGGCAGTGCGTGGATCTGTAGAGAAACCTAGGCGGTCAATCGCCCTGACCATCGCATCCACGCTGTTATTCAGGAGTGAGTTGAATGCCCCAGTAGCCGATCCGATGGGCAATCGTCCCGACTGAGAATGACAGCGTCGAAGAACTCGGCAAAATGTGCCCCAGTCTGCGTCAAGCCTGGACTCGGGCAAGGTCCGCCTCACAGCGTAGCCCGGATGCGAAAGCACACCATTCTGCAGTTGCGAGTTGAGGCGCGGGCAGGCATTGCAGAACCGTTGCAGAACTGGCCAGACAGCGTCAACGCTCATATGATGCGTTCCGAGGCAGCGTGAAAACAGGTGGGTAAGCATTGCTTGGGCCACGTCCTGATCGCGCTTGGTTGCCCTCGCCCTCGTCCAGGTGAGCATCCACACAATGAAACCTCGCAAGGATATCGTGAACTCGTCCACCACGTAGTCACCCTCATGCCCCTGCTGCTCGTACTTGCCCGCGTAGGCCCCTCATGCTCGGCCGGACCTCGCCCGGCAGATATTCCGGCCCCAAGATATTGAGCTCGGTGGCTACTTCCGCCAGCTGGATCTTCAATGCCCGAGCAGTGTGCAACTACGTCGTTGTTCCAGAGTAGAAGGTGTCGAGAATGCCGCGAAGCTCAAGGAGCGCGACATCGTCTTTGAATCCAAGGCGCAGAGCTCCCAATCCAGAGGCGCAACTTGTCCAGTGCTCAGCTGCGCGCTCCCCTTCAAGAAGTAGTAATCCGTGTCTCTGGTCGCGTCGGTGGCATGAGCCATGCGCTGGCGACTTGGCGTGCTCTGGCGAGGCCAATGCGTTGGGCCGCCAGGCCTACCCAACGCTGGTTCGAGCCAAAATGGCCGCGATGCTGAGGGTGGCGGAGGGAGACAGTGTCAGAACCAAGTGGGTCGCCATCGCCCTAAACTTTTCTGTTCGGGCGGTGCGCCCCTCGCTTTAGGACGCAGGGAAGACAGAGATGTGCCAGGGAGACGTTGGGCAGTCAAAGCAATGATGTGCATGCGGGTCTAGACGCATGGTTTCGAGCACTTGTTGCGACGGGGGCCCTTGGCCAAAGTCTATGTGTCAATGCTTCGGGGCGCTCGCATCGGGCCCCCGTGGGACTTCACGGGCATTGGTGTTTTGTCGGGGTCTTGTCTGGGCGGCAACGGCGAGGGCGCGCGATGGGCGATGATGGCGAGGAGGGGGCGGGGCATCGATGGCGGCGAGGGCGGCGGCGGTTGCCTCGAGGACGAGCGGGGCGAAGACAATGTCGGGGTGTGGGGGGGGGGGGGGGGGGGGGGTCGATGTGGAATCCTCGCGGTTCCAATTCCTCCGCTTTCCTCGTGTCCTCGTGGCCGCGTCGCCTCCCCCCCCCCCCCCCCCCCCCCCCCCCGCTCCCCCGCGCGACCCGCCCCATTCCCATTCCTCCGTGTCTTGACGCCGATGGTTGTTCAGCGGTCGTGGCGATGACGAGGGCCCCGAGGATGAGGATGGCGACCATTACCATCGCAGACCAGATCTTACAAGCTCGCTGAATATATCGTTGGACGGACCTCGCAGAACGTAGCACACAATGAACACCCGCAACGAGCGCGCTTGATCTGCTTGCCCCTAACAGTATCTAGCAAACCGCATCGCCCAAAAGGCGCGCGAACGCGGCGCTCGAGACATGCATGTGCGCGGGCCAGGCAGCACAGCACCAGCATGACAAGACTGGCGAAGCATATTGAGTGGCACGGCTGTCAGACGAGACCGTCTTTCGAATTCACCATTGCTGCTTCTGGCCAACATGCATACTTGTAAACAGCACCCCCCTGACACTGCAATCTGCAACGCGCTCGAGCTACCTCGCCTCCGCGGGCGACGGGAGCGGGAAATCAAAAAGCTGCGGGGCGATCGGGGCGGCGTCGCCGCTCACGACCTTCGAAGGCCCATTCGAAGACCCGCGGCGGGATGGAATACTGCCTTTCAGCGCTGCACCGCGCTTCGAGACACGCATGGGAAGGCCAAGGCGGCGCCCATCCCTCGTCGGTCTGGCGTCCGCCCCGCCGGCCTCGGCAGCGCACTGGGCGCCGGGCTCAGGAACTTTGATGCCCAGGCGACGCCGTGTCGGAGATCCTACTGCGGTGCCACCTGCAGGCGTCTGGATCTTGACCCCGCCCTCCTGCCCCTCCTCGTCGAAGTCCTCGTGTGCCGACTTGCGGAACATGGCGTGCAGCTGCTCGCAAAAGTCGCACCCGTCCTGGCGCGCGGTGGCGGCGCGGTAGCTGTGGTTGCTGTTTATGTATAGTTTCGCCCGCCTGGGGGCCTTGAGGACGGCCTCTGACTTGTCGACGATCGACTTCACGGTGCATTTGGTGCCGGTGACTGCAGTCGGGAAGTGGCCACCAGTGTCAAAATCAACTGGAAGCACGAGACCTTTACCACGGGAGCCCTTCAACGCGCACTGCTCCTGGATGTACGTGGCGACGCCTCCCTTCGAACGGCTCTGCATCGGGATCGTGTCCGACATCTCGACGTCACAGGGGTAGGTTGTGGGCTGCTGCACGGCGCCTTTGTTCTGCATGCGCTCCCTGCTCTTCAAGAGAACCCTGAAATGCAGCTTCAAAAATGCACTGGGATCGCACGCAGTCAGGGCCCTCATCAGCGTCGTGACGTTGAAATCATCAAAGCGGGAACGATTGCGATTCAATGGGACGCCGTCGTCAGGCTTTGCATCTGGGTCAGGGCCCTTGGAGGCACGCAGAGGGGCAGGCTCATGAACATCACATGCTTGAGACTGCTCGGGCGAAATGGCAGGCGCACTCTTGATCGCCAGCGCCGCCGCAGGGGGTGAAGGAGCTGCAGCTCGAAGGCTCGGCAATGGGGAGGCCGGATCGCTCAGCAGGCCGTTGTTGACAAGGTCTTGCTCCACCCGCCAGCGTTCATCAGGCCTCGCCTTGAGAGAGGCAGTCAAACGCTCGAAACGAGCTTGCTGCTCGAACTCCTTAGCTTTCAGGCGCAAGCAATGGGATTCCTGCTTTGTCGTCTGTCCCGCACGCGGGGCCATGCCGTGACCTCTCCAAACCTCGGGACAGCGAAATTCTCGACTGTGGGCGCAAACGCACTGGGCCAAAGCAGCTGCGGGAGTACTGGGCTGACAGCGACGACGCCGACGAACACAGGGCTGGCGGCTCAAAGGACATGTCTCTGCAGGTTGACCCATTCAACATCCAGGAAATTCACCGAAGCCCATCAAGAGGGAAGAGAAGGGAAGGCGAGACAGGGGATGATTAGACAGGTTGAGGCACGCAAAGGATGAGCAGGGCCTAGAACACAGAGGCGACGCTTGGAGCTCGCACTAGCTTTTCTGGGGGGCACTGCGTCACCCCGCCACCCCCTTTCAAACGCACAATAGTCACGGATGCAGCGTCGCATCAACGAACTTAACACGCAACGTGTCACGCAAACAACATCACCGAACTAGTCAACAAAATGTTCGTGACCACCTACGCACACATGAAACGGAATCAAACCCAACACCCTTGCCCTAGCCCAAGACCTCATAACACCGAAATTGACCCTGACAAGCACATGTAGTGTGTTCGAATGTGTTGTTGCTCCTCCTCGTGCTTGGATCCTTCTCCTCCCGTCCTCCTCCTCCTCCTCCTCCCATTCCTCCTCCTCCATTTCTTCCTCCGCCATCTCCTCCAACATCCTCGTCCTCCTCGTTCTCCCCGCCCTCCCTTCTTGCGACGTGGCAAACGGCGCGTGCCTACGGGCACGCCCGACTCATGGGCACCATTCCACGCGACAGTCGCTTGAGCAGCCGCATCGGGCGCAGTGCTCCGATCGTGCCGCGATCAACGTCGCGCAAGGCAAGCGCAGCATAGTGCTTCTGATTGCCAGCGCCATCAGGTGGAGGAGGGCGCGCGTCGTTGGGTTTGCCATGGGATTTGTTGAGTTTCGGTGCGCATGTGTATTCGTGCTTTACGCGGGTGTGGCGCGCGCACACCGTGATGCACCATGCGCGCTAGCCAGGCCAAGGCCGACCGTTTGGATGTCGGGAACACCCGACGCTTTCCAAGGGCGTGGCCGCATTGAAGCAGCAACGCGGGTGATGGTAGAATGTGGTTGGATATTCTTGATCTATCAACCGTCTAAAGTTGCCCGCCAACCCCATCTACCCCGACCCCAGATCCGTTCTCCTGAACACGGCCGTGGGGTGAGGCGCCCAGCCGCCCGGCTTTGGGTTTCTTTTGTTTCTCTTTCCCCCAGCCAGCCGCGGCCAGAGGAGCACATCGCATCGACGCTCTTCCGATAGGGGTGCCGAAGCTGATGGGTTCCCAATCGCTGCGGTGAGCGAGGGGGGAAGTGAGGCGGCGGGAATTCTCAGAAGCGTTCCGGCCTTCTGGGAAGTGTTCTGCGTCTTCGGGGAAAGCTTAGAAAGCTTCTCAGAAGGCAGGGGGGGCTTTCGAGCCTTCTGAGAAGGCCCGCCCTTCTCACTTCCCCCTCGGCTTGCCGCCGGCGATCAATGAGGGGTAGCGATGCTCGTCAGCCGGAAGAAGTGTGTAGAAACATGAAGTCGGGCGGCGTTAAAATAGATTGGGTCCCCACCTGCCCTTGAAAGAGGAAGGACGAGGGAAGAACCGCTCGACTCTTGAAGTATGAGGGCGGCTAAACTAGATTGAGATCTGGGAGAGAGCGTGATCCACCGCGGCTTTACTGTGGAAAATTGCCGCCCTTTTCCTCCGGAGCCCGGGGGTCCCCCCCCCCCCTCCCCCCTCCCCCCCTGCTGGACCCCCCCCCCTCCCCCGGCAACCCCCCCCCCTCCCCGAACCCCTCCCCTCCCCCTCCCCCTCGAAAACCGGGGGGGGTCACTACCGGTTCGAACCCCCCCCCCCTCGAAAACCGGAGGGGGGGTCACTACCCCCACTCACCGCCAGCAAACGACTCCCGGTCCCTACCACCGTCCACACCACATCCCCCACTGTTGTTCCCAGCACCACTGTCCTCACCACCACTGTCCCCACTGGTTCCACCACCGTCCCTATTGTCCCCACCAGTGCCCCCACCACTGTCGCACTGTCCCCACTGTCCCCACCACTGTTCCCACCACGGTTCCACTCTCCCCACTTTCTCCACACCCCCAACCACTGCCCGACTATTCCCACTGTCCCCACTGTCCAACTGACTCCTCCGCTGTCCCACTGAACTGTTCCACTGTTCCCACCACTGTCCCCACTGTCCCCACCACTGTCCCCACTGTACCTCTGTCCCATTGTCCCACCGCCGTCCTCGCCACCGCCTTCACCACTGTCCCCACCACCACTGTACCCTCCACTGTCCCACTGTTTCCACCTCATTCCCACTGTCCCCACACCACTATCCCCACCACCACCGTCTCCACCACTGTCCACTGTCCCCACTGTTCCCACCATTGTCCTCACCACTGTCCCCACCACTACCGTCACCACCACTGCCCCACTGTCACCACCACTGTCCCGCTGTCCCCTCACCACTGTCCCCACCACCACCGTCCCCACCACTGTCCGCACCCCCCCACGGTTTTACGAGGGGGGGGGGCGTTCGAACCGGTAGTGACCCCCCCGGTTTTCGGGGGGGGGGGGGGGTCGAACCGGTAGTGACCCCCCCGGGTTTCCAGAGGGGGGGGGAGGGGTTCGAACCGGTAATGAACCCCCCCGGTTTTCCGGAGGGGGGGGGGGGGGGGGGGGGTTCCCGAACCGGTAGTGACCCCCCCCCCGGTTTTCCGCCAGCAGCGGTAGAACACGCTCTTTCAGATCTGGGGATCCAACATACATATTTTCAACAACCGACGTGTAGGAGGGACTGTGACAGGGGGGGAATATCGACCTGGAATCGGCGATGCATTGCCGAAAGATCGGCCATAGGCCTCCGATAGTGAATCCGCACGCTCCTGGGCCCTATCGGCGATCAGCGTGCGATTGGATGCCTCACCCCCTCAACGGCAACAACACACACAAACTCTGGCAAGGGAAAGACATACCGCGTGCACCCATGACGACTCCGAAAAATATGACGAGCAACAACTACGGTCCACACCGTACGAAATGAGGAAGAAGAGGGGCGCGAGGATGATAGTAGGGGATGGAACCAGTCAGGGCTGCAAGTATGTCAATGTTGCTGTTCGGTGCAAAACAACAAAAAGGAACCCCTCATCTCGCATTCCCGTAGATTCGGCAGCCCCACCTTGTACCCCAATGACCATACCACGTACATGAATGCTCAACGTGGTTTTCTTCCTTCCACTGGGCCGAGCGTCTACACAACGGATTCAGAGTCGGACTCGCCGCGTGCGCGGACGGAGAAGGACAAACAACAGAGGGGGAATGGGGGAGGAGACAAGGCATCATCTGGAGTCAAAAGACAAGGTGATGATGCTGCAGCAAAGCCAGCCGCGGGGCAAGAGAAGAAGTGCTTCCTCCAGCAGCCGCGTAATGGCACGTCTCAACGGCCTTGGGTACCAGGTTTGCTGCCGCTCCACATCCAGCAATGCCGTCGTCTCAGTCGCCGCTGCCGGCGTGTCGTCGTCCTCCTCCTTCTCCTGAGTACGCTTGCACGAACGACTCTTACTTCAATCCTGAGGGGGTCGGCCTTCTTTCTGTGACAGGGCCTTCTTATTAACAAAAACTCTGTGCGTCAACCTGGGATGGAATGTTATGTTGGTCGCTCTGATTTTTCCTCGCGTGCGACTTCGCACGCACGTATGAATTTCTCCACGTTGCACGAACTGCATGATCAATATCTTGTAGGTAGACATGTGCTCTTTTGCGCAAAAAAAAACTTCTTCAAACGCGTTCATCACTCGACAATCCGTGCTCTGCCCATCGTTTAGCCGACCACACCATGAAGCACACCGATTGGCTGACGTAAGTCGGCTGTATGAATCACCTACGGTCGTAACCTGCGTCTGGCCCGTTTAGGCAGGACCGTTCGTATCCATTCACAGAACCGAACAGAGACCATGCAGGTGCAACCCCGTACCTCATCGAAACGCATATATATAGAGAGAGAGAGAGCGAGAAACAACACAACAACAGTACGTATGGATCCACAAGATATGGATCCACTTCGCTAGTTGGTGTGTCTGCGTCCTTGTGTACATCACTACTCCCCTTGCCTTGCCATCAATACGCTTGCTCGCTGTGGAACAATAATGAGGCCTCCCCAGCCCAGTGTTCCGCATCATGGATTTCCCTCGTATGGTTCTCTGATCTGCCTTCCAAGACAGAAAAGAAGGCCAACATCGGAAGTTCAAACCATAAGTCCCATGGCCCCTACCCACCTTGGGCGCCGCCCCGCTTCCCACCGCTCCCCCTTCATTCGCGCGCCCTCCTGAGCGCGGTGGCGGACTCGAACGGCAACGCAACTGGATGACGCATACCAGAGAACATACCGTGGCCTGTGTGCCGTTCTTGCTTGAGTTGTGTCGTTGTCTCTCTTTCTCTCCCTCTCTTTGTCTCTGTCTATATCTCTCTCTCTCTCCCTATGTCTCTCTTTTCATTATCTCTCTCTCTCTCTCTCCCTCTCGTTGTATGTGTATGCACAGCTGTGTCTTGACAACCGTGGGACCAACCCTCCGCATGATACGGAGGTTGGGGGTGATGGGTTACGCTCAATCGCAACGAAGTCTCAAGCGAAACAGCCGTTCTGACATCCGCAAGTACCGGCAAGACTGCTCCTAAGGACCCCCCCTGTTGAGTTAGATTGCGAAGACGACTCAGGCGAGACTGCCCTTCCTCGAGGCTCGGGCCCTTTTCTGGCCATAGCCTTTCGGAGTAGATTGGAGGACATATTGCACGGGAGCGTTGTTGTTGTTTGTGCTGTTGTGATTGTTGCTGGCGTTGTTGGTGTTGGTGGTGGCGCTGCTGGTGTTGATAATGTTGCTAGTGTTGTTGCATTCGCATCTCAAGGGACTAAGATTGTTGCCCCCTCTCCCAGCAACCATAATTTTTCAACTGAAGAACTTATCCCGGGGCCTGCACCCTGTTCTCTTTACAAGAAGAAGCGCAATGTCGCCAAACTGCGCCCCTGGCCACTGAATTACAACAGCAAGAACAAACAAAAACAATAACAATAACAAACACATAAACAAAAACAATAACAAGAACAACAACAGCAGCAGCAGCAACAACAACAAGAACAGCAACGGCTCCCGCTTGGTACTTTCTCACAGTGTATTCCCACATAGCGCTTTCGCGCTTTCGCGCAGGACTTCTCCACAATGTATACAGGAGTCGCACTCTCGCGTGGGACTTCCTCGCAATGTGTTCAGACGCAGCGCCCTCGACACTCAGGAATCACGCTCTCACTATGGATTCCCTGACGATTTAATGGGGAATCGCGCTATCGCTCCAGACTGCCTCGCGATGCATGCGAAACGCACGCTTGAAGAACTCGCCTGCCCTTTGTCCCTGCCTTCCATCCGTCCTCTCTTCCCCTGCCTTGCTTGGGGGCTGCACGAAACAAAAACACGTCGTAGGTAAGAAAGGTATACACCTAAGGGGTACGATCGAGGACGTAAACGGCGGGTACCGACGGTTTGAGGTATACGTGTTGAATGGCACGCGAGCAGATAAGAGCGAATAGTCGCAACATGATTTTTGGTGTTGATGCTGCTGTTGTTGGTGGTGATGCTGAGGTTCAGTTGAAGTGTCTATCTCGGGGCCCGCACCCTGTTTCGTTACAAGGGAAAGCGAGGTGTCACCAAACTGCGCCCCTAGCCCCTGGTTTACAACAGCAACAACACCAACAACGGTTCCCGCAGGATAATTCATCACAATGTATGCCCATATCGCGCTCACGCGCGGGACATCCTCAATGTATATAGGAGTCGCGCTCTTGCGTGGAACTTCCCCACCATTTATTGAAAAGCAGCGCCCTCGACACTCAAGAATCATGCTCTTGCTATGGCTTTCCTGACGATTTGGGAATCGCGCTATCGCTCCAGACTTCCCCGCGATCCATGCAGGACGCACGCTTCAGCAACCCGCCTGTTCGACCTGGCCGCCTGGGCCCGCATTCTCGACCAGCCTGTAAGGGTCTACCCGCCCGATCTGCCCGTCTGGTTCTGCCACGTGTTTTCTGCTCCGAGCCCCCCTCCTGCTTCTCTCTCCCGTGCTCCATCCTCATCCCTCCCCCTTGTCCCTTCCTTCCATCCGTCCTCTCTTCCCCTGCCTGAGGGGCTGCACGATATACACGTTGTAGATTAGAAAGATATGCCCCCAAAGAACTACGATCGAAGACGAAGAGGGCGGGTACCGAGGATTTGGGATATACATGTTGGAATGGCACGTTCGCAGATAAGAGCGAACAGTCGTGAAACCATGTTGTTGGGTGGCCGGTTTGGGCTGTTCCCCGAAAAGCTTGAGCGTGAGCTTCAAGTTCAACGGAAATGCAGCCCGCGGCGAGGCGAGAGCGCCAAAGCGGAGGCAGGTGGTACTCGACACCAGCATTGGCCCACGCACCCAGTGGTGATATAAGACATATAATGTCACATGTCAGGGGTATTGCTGTAACAGTGCGTTCCTTCACGACTAGCTAGCCAAAGTCTGCCTGTACAGCATATCAATTCACCATGGCTTAACTTGCTTTGTCCTGGCTCGTACTGCCAACGCCACTCGTTCACGGACATCAGACGCTTTTCGTCCCTGTCCCTGCACCACCGTTGCCAATTCCATATGTCCACCTTTTCTCTCCTATCTCCACTCCTCCTCCTCCTCCTCCTCCTCGTCCTCCTCCTGCTCCCTCCCTCCCTCCCGCCCTTCACAATTACACAATATGAATACTACTCTCCCCTCTCCCCTAATGACGTACGGCAGACGTTCGGCCCCCCTCTGCGTATTGTTTTTTATACACAGGATTCCCGGGAGTTGGGTTTTCGCTTGGTTCTGTTTCCCAAAATGTTGTTCCCGCTGAAGCGCTGGCCTCAATTTCAGGATTCCGCTCGTTCCGAATCGTGCTCCCGCTGCAGCGCTGGCGTCATTATTTTCAGTGCCATGCCACGGCATGCAATCCGATACTATGTGGTGTTCCGCTATGCGATGCCATGCCTTCAGCTGTAATGCTAGGATATGCAGTGCTTGACTACGCAGTGCCACGCAATGCTATGCCATGCTACGTTTTGATCCTCAACACCATGCTATGCCATGTTCTGTGATGTGCCGCTGTGCAATGCCATTAGTTGTGTCACAATGCTTAGTGATGCAATTCTTCACTACGCCACGCCACGTCATGCTATGAGATATTAAGCACTGCCATGCTCTTGCAAACCCTGCTATGTCGTGCTATACGATGCACCGCGCACCCTCTCGGGATCATTGCGCTGCTCGACATCCGACCGTGCGAATAGAGAGGAGGTCTACGCCATGGCAGGGGATGGGAGGGAAGAGTGGGAGGTCAGGTATGACGCGAGCGCACGCTCTCCTTCGATCCCCCCTCCCTCCGTCATAACTCTCCCTCCTCTCCACCCGTCCTCTCTGTCTTCCCCTCCTCATTCCTGAAATGTCCTCCTGCTCCTCCTCATCATGCGCTCCTCCTCCTCCTCCTCCTCCTCCTCCTCCTCCTCCTGCGCTCCTCATCCCTCCCTCCCTCACCCTACTCGATCATCCGCCTCCACCCTAACTAGACACAGGCCCACCTGGCCCTATCTTCTGGCAGGTGCGGCGTGTGCCTTGCGCCGTACACGGGGTTAAAGCCCTCCTCGACGACCTCGCCGCGCGCTTTCAAGCCGCGCGGGATGTGCAATTGGCCAGCCTGTGAAATGTCCTCGCTGAGCAATGAAAGACCAGGGACGTCTGGGGAACCCGCACAAACAAGTCCAGACAAAATCCAGTGACCTCTGGGGGCGAAGTCCTTGCAGGGAGGTCTGGGGAAATCCAGGGAGAGTCTGGGGAAGTCTGAGATAGTCTGGAGTAGGTGGGGAAGTCGCAAGAATGCTCCCTTGAAAAGCTCCAATGGCCGCGAAGCCCGGTTATATTGGGTTCCCAGGACGGAATGGGAACGGATACCTTGCACACATGGACAAAGTTGCAGCGAGTGGTCCGACACGGGCGGAGGAAGACGGAGGAAGACGCGGCAGAACGGAGGGGATGCGTGGAGGATGCTGGGGGAACGGTGGCCGGAGGTGCAAGAACGGCGCCCATGCACAGTAACATGTCTGGACTCCCTGCAGGTCCCGCCTTCTCCACGCGCACAGCCGAAGGAAACACAGCCCGCCTCCTTGCGTCGCTGGGAGGCGGGCAAGAGTAAATATCCACGCCCGCCCCTCAGTCCAGCTGGCGCTCCGCTAAGCGCTCCGACCAAAGGTCGCTCGCGCCTAACGTCCGTCGGGTGCGGCGCTCGTTCGGGGAAGGGGGGAGGGATGGGAGGAGGGACGGAATGGGGAAGAGAAGAGGTGAGAGGGGTGGGAGAGGAGGGTGGGAGAGGATACTACAAGGCACGGACGTGACACAGCGCCCAGAAGCGGAGCGAGAAAGCAGGTGAGGCAGGGACCCAGGAGAATTGCGACGATGAGAAATAGGACGACGAGGATGAGGAGGAAGGAGAAGGGATGGCCGAAGCGCAGAGCGAGAGGCGGACGCGAAAGCAGCAAGGAAGGGCCTTCTTCTTGAAGCGCTCGGTCAACGACATGGTGACGCCCCTCTCCTTGCATCTCTCGAACACCTTCCTGAGGGGAGACAGGCGCAGCCGCTCTGCTCAACACATAGTTGCTCCTCCACCTCCTTCATCTATCAATATTACGACCCATGGATAAAACAAACTTGACGCACTGTTTGGACCTGGGGAGACCTGGAAGACACGAAGTGGACCGTCTTCCGTTCCCTTCGAGTTTTTTGTGTTGAGCACCGTAAGTGGTCGCTGAGGCGCCCAGACCACCGAGCTCCAAGAATTCTGGGGCGCCCTTGCGCGCTCTTGGGGATTCCCGCGTCACTTGTTCAAACATCGCAGGAGTGTGGTCGGAACTTTCCCGGGAGACCATGGAGGCCAGCCCAAGAGGCCAACCTCGCCAAACTCAACAATTTACGTTTTAGCGCGAGTGAAACATTCTGGGCTCTTCGGGCTTACAAGTGTCCAAGGCGGCACAGGATGCTCCCAAGAGCGCCCAGCATCGCGGGGGGATCGCTGTCCCTCGCGTCGAGTGCGCCAGGTCCACAGGGCCTCTCTCTTCGAAACTCTCCGCTGAGTGTACTGACGTCCGCTGAGCCAGCGTCGAGGCACAGGGGAGGAGGAGGGGGAGGAGGAGGAGGAGAAAATGGACGAGGAGGAGAAACTGGAGGAAGAAGAGAAAGAGGACAAGGAGGAGGAGAAGGGAGGAGGAGGGCACTGGACGTCCGCTGAGCCAGCGTCTGAGGCCGCCGCAACTCGGCGCCATCTGAGAGATCCCACCGGGCCTCCGACCGAGGTGGCCTGAGGCGCCTGCTCTTTCAATCCCACCTTCTCCTCCTCCTCCTCCTCCACCTCCTCCTCCTCCTCCTCCTCCTCCTCCTCCTCCTCCTCTCCTCCTGAGAGTGCCAGGATAGCACCTCTGAGTGCTGGATGCCTCTTCCCCGCTGGAGAGGGGTTGGCACCTCCCCAGCCGTACCCCCTCCCACGGGGCTGGACGGCGGGGCTCTCTGCAGAAAACTCATGATGTGTTGCCTGCCGATGGACCTCCGAAGCCCGCAAGATGTCCCTGAGATCGATCGAGAGCAAAGCCCCCAGGAAGGGCCCAGAAGTGCCTAGAACGCACCAAAAAGGAGATTGTTCGGGCTCCAGCGGGGCGTGGGTAATTAGAGACCCCCACCTTTGAGAGATGTCCTCGAAGATGACCTGGGGGGGCCCACCCAAGGCGGCCACAAGCGCCCCAGCACGGCTTCAAGAGGGCTCCGAGCGCTCCCAAAATAGCCCCGAGAGGGCCTCAAGATGGCTCCAATAAACATCCAAGAGGCTCTTAGAGCGAAATATACTCGAGAAACGATGTCTGACAACTTGGACGGTGACCTCGGGTCCGAAGAGCGGCAGATGGGCCACTAGTTTTTTGTGCTTGCACGAGAAGCCTGGCGATGGAGCCTACCCCTATGCAGCTGCGTGCGCCGCATGGCGTGGCCCTCTTTCCATGCATCACGTGCCGCGGGTCAGTGCGAAGAAGGGACTGCGGAACAGACACACAAAGCAAACTGTACTCCGTCCAGGGCACGATATACGCGTGAAGGGTGTGCAGACATGCCAGACCCTTGTGGCGCGTCGTACCTTGCGTCTTCGATGGTGTTTGGATGTCTCCGCTTTACATCCTCTGGCGCGGAGGCCCCCACCGCAATCGCCGGACCGCTCCCCAGCCCCTCCGTCCCAGGACCACACATGAGTGGGGGAGGTCACAAATGAACGGCTATCAGCATTCACACCTTTCCGATGGAGTGGAGCTCGGAGGCGATAGCTGGCACCGGTGTCCAGACTTGTTTGACGGCGATGCGTGACGAGTCATCAGGTCATGAAGAACAACATATCCCTTCACACGGATCTCGACGGCACGGCCGAACAGTCCCATGAGTTTATCAAGTAAGAAGTGGTTTCGTTGATTGCGCATGATTACTGTTCTCTTCACTACTTGCCATGCATCCAAACATAACAACAGTAATTCAAGTTCTTGCTTCTACGCATTATAGGCCAAGGTATGTTCCAAGAGGTCTAGGAGTGTTTGGTCAGGGCAGCTGCTCATGATGCGCCAACAGACTGAGGTTAGGGGATGCTGGCATGCTTGGTCAACACATTGACAATGTCTAAACACACTCACCATATATGTATTGCACGCCCCATGCCATCCGTCGAACAGATTACATGCATGTATACATACAATGGCAGAAGGAGAGAACAAGAGAGAGAGAGAGAGACGAACACCACACATGTATATAGAGAGAGACAGAGGAAGAGAAGGAGACAGAGAGAGAGAGAACACACACACACAGTAAAAACATCAACAGCATTCCTACTCACACACCCTGCTCGTCGATTTGCATGCGCCTGTGCACGCTGGTGCCATCTGTACAACCTGCGGCACTCGAACACACAACATAGGTGTCAGTGCTAGGTGCTCGAGGAAAACCATAATAATTGGAGTCCCAGGCAGGACACACACACACACAGCACGGCACGGCAGACACGTGCCCGCGCAAACACAATCTCGGAAGAGCAGGGCCTGCGGATTCGCGAGCTATACTCACGAGCGCGTGGCTGTCGGAACACCACTTCCATGGGGCAGCGTTGGCGGCGTGTCGGCACGAGCGCCAGAAACACATCAAGCACACCAATTGCACTACGCACACCAGCCGCACCAAGCGCTGCAAACACACCAAGCACACCTGGCGCAAGAGGCGCACCAACAATGCGGGGCACAGCACGAATGCCACGCACTCTACGCAGACCAACTGTGCCAGGCACACCAGGCGCACCACCATGAGCGCCACGTTTCTGGGGCGTCTTGAAGCCATTCGGGGGGGCCTCTGGGGGGGGGGGGACCTTACATGTGTCCAGGTACCCCTGGGGGAAAGGGCGCGGCCTGCACCCCAGGGCAAAGTTGCGCGGGTACTAGAAGACTTCCCGAGTCTCGCAGCACATCCACGATCTGCCCCACGATCCCCCACATCGTTTCTCAGACGATCGGCACCTGCGGCGGGCGGATTGTTCCAAACGCGTGGACGCATATCGCGGGCTCCTTACCTTTGGCGCTCCAACCCCGCAACCCTGGCAAGATCGCAAAGCGACACTGGTGCCCCTCGCTCTTATCCGCAATGGCGGGGTCCGAGGTACTGGCGTACAGACAACGAGAGAGATGATGGATGGATGAAAGGATGGATGGAGAGAGAGAGAGAGAAACAAGAGAGAGAGAGAGGGAGAGAAAGAGACAGAGAGAGCGAGCGAGACGCTGAACACAGCGGGCAAATCAGTGCTTCTGCGTGTGGTATTTGAGTTTTTGGTATGGAACAGGTCATGACGGCTCCACATGGTAAATGGCACTGGAAGGCGATATATGGTCTCAACGAGACAATGCGGTCATGCATGATCAGGGGCTAATGAATTGCATCCCACGGCAGATCATCGGGCTCCTGAACTCAAGCTCTGCGATCTGGCCAACCTGGCGGTACGCGCCACTGGGCCCCACTGCGCTCAGGCAGGACGGAGGGTTGGCGTGCAGCACCCGTCGATTGGCATGACAGCTTCTGACCCACCGAAGAAAACATGCGTAGATCGTGGTGCCCGCCTCTTTCCCTCCAGGTCCCCGTGCTCGGCCTCGCAATAATCCTTGGTCTCCTGCTCCTCCCGATGCTCCTCATCCTCCTCCAGCCCATCCTCCTCCTCCTCCTCGTCCTCCTCCACTTCATCATCATCACCATCACAATCACCATCACCATCACCATCACCAGCATCATCATCATCATCATCAGCATCATCATCATCATCATCATCATCATCATCAGCATCATCATCATCGTCGTCGTCAGCATCGTCATCATCATCAGCAGCAGCAGCATCGTCAGCATCGTCAGCATCATCATCAGCAGCATCAACATCATCATCACCATCATCAGCATCGGCATCGGCAGAAGCAGCAGCAGCATCAGCAGTATCACCATCATCATCATCATCAGCAGCATCATCATCAACAGCATCACCATCACCATCATCATCATCATCATCATCAGCATCATCATCCTCATCATCAGCATCATCATCAGCAGCATCGGCATCATCATCATCAGCAGTATCATCATCATCAGCATCATCATCAGCAGCAGCATCATCATCCTTCCCTTATTCTTAAAAGCAAGCCCCACTCCTGCTTCCCTTTCCTCCTCCTCCTCCTCCTTCTCCTCCTCCTCCTCCTCCTCCTCCTCTTTCTTCTTCCCCTGAAGTGACCCATTCTGAATACTACTCGCCGACCTTACCAGACAACGTTGCTAGGGCCAATCATCTGCGCACGCATCGCAAAACTTTCGGGGAAATTCGACGGGACATTTCGAGCAAGGCTGGCCTGCCTTGCACGGAAAAGCCCCTCCGGGCACCGCGATGATCTGATGGGGAACGGGAGGGGATGACTGGCTCAGTGTGGGGGGGGGAGGGGGGGGGGGGAACATCGAGCTGGAATCGGCGATACATCGCCGATAGATCGGCAACAGGCCCCCCGACCGCGAATCCCACTCTCCTGGGCGGTGTGTGCTGTGCCCAACATCGCTGGTCAGTGGGCGATTGGGGGTCGAAGCACTCCCCCCTGTGCCCCTCCCCCCTATCGTTGCCCCTGACCTTCATGGCGACCGAGCTTCGCTTCCCTCTCCGCCCGCCTGCCAGCGCGCAGTCTGGCAGGCAGGCGGAGGGGGCAGGCAGGCCAGCGCATAGTCTGACCCTGTCCCGCCCCTGCAGTGGAGGCCCGACCACAGGAGACCTCCCACACAAGAAACCCAACCCTGGAACCCCAGGACGCCCAATAGTCTTCGGCGTGGGAACGTCACGCGTTTCATCGCAATACCCTTGAAGCCCAAGAAACACAGGGCACCCTGGGGCAAGCAGGGCGTTTCTTGGCATGGGCCTCCACTGTAACGTTTCATTGCACCTTGCAGACGTGCTGCAGTGCAGTTTTGCATGGATTTGTGTCAATGCGAGACCCCGAGACGGCGAACGAAAAACGAAGTGAAGTTCGCGTGGTGGATTTTGTATTAAATTTCATTCCTGGCCACAAAGAATCCGCACGAAATTCACCTCGAACTCCAGAACGAACTTATCCAGGACACTCCGGGTCCATCCTATCGTTTTCCGAACGAAATCCACTCTGCGATGTTGGCGCCATGAAGCGTTGCCCTAAGTCGGGCCTGTAAAAAATAGTCAGGGGACGATTTGTGGAGTATTTGTTGACCGTGTTGAAACATGTTTGGGCTATTCTGCATCTTTCGTCCAAAATCCCCCTGTAGAAGGACAGGCCCGACTCAACCGTTGGGGCTGCCGTCCGCGGCGGGCAGGCGAGGCCTCGGACGGCGCCTCGCCGACCCGGGGGGGGGCCCCCCCCGGGGAGCGCCGCAGGCTCTCCGCACGGCCCCAGGGAGAGCTCCGGGGCACCGCTGGCCGCGAGGAGCCTCACGGGAAGGCCCATGGAAAAATCGGGCCGCGCGAAAGGGGGGGATAGCAAAGGGAGGGTTCGAGAATCAGCTGGCGTAGCTGATTTTCCCAGCGCCTCCCAGCGCCCGAGGCGCCCATGTATACAGGAATGGGCCCCTCGGTGGGGCCGAAACCAGCTGCATGCAGCAGATTTCGTCACCCCCCCCCTTTCCAAATCACCCCCTTTCGTCCGGCCCGAAAAAAGGACCCAGAACAAAAAAAGCATCCCTCGAGAAGATGACACACACGCTGCCGGCCAAACTGAAGAACACTCGAGCGTACCCTCCCCCGGGATACACGAGAACATCCGACAAGCACGAAGAACATTAGGGCACCCTCCCCGAACCGACTTCGATCTTATGCCTCGGTCCGACCGCAATCTCTAAATTCACTGCACTTGGCATGCCTGCGTCAAGGCACGAGACTTAGGTCGGGAGCGTCCCCCTACAAGCGGATTTCGTACGAAAATTAAGAGTGGTCAAACAAACGAAACATATTCAAACAACTAACAACTAATAGAAACATCATCCCCTGAGTAGTTCTTGACAAGTTGTTGATATTCCTCCTGTAGAGGGACACGCACGACTTAACCGTAGTCTATAAGTTCACTGCACTTGGCATGTCTGCGTCAGGGCACGAGAGCGTGCTCTCCCTTTCTCTCAGCCGTGGCCCTGGGCATCATGTCTGGGCGGCTGGCCAGGACACGCAAGAAGCCAGGAAGTCGCCAACGGAAGGGGCCGTCTGGGGCTGGCGAACGCGAGGCGGGCAGACGGCAGGAAGGGAGGGCGCGGACGAGCAGAAGAGGAAGAGGCATGGCGAGGGAATGACAAGATGGTCCGAGGAGGAGACAAGCGACAGGAAACAGGTTCTTTGGAGAACAAGAACGCATAAACATAGACGTTTGCAAGTCCGCTGGATCTGCTGGACCCCCGTCCCTGGCGCGCGGAGCACGCCCCCGTACCGATGCAAGAAATCCGGGCGGAGCTCCGAAAATTGATGTTTGTGAATTGGCTCTTCTTCGAAGTAGTCCGTTTCCTGTGTGGAGGTGGCAGCGTTGTACCAGCTCAGGCGACTCGAAGAAGTTGAGAACAACCAGCCCCCTGTGGTCGTGGCCCTTTGAGTGTCGTGGTCATCATCGTCGTCACTGCATCGTCGTCGTCATCGTCGTCGTTGTCGTCGTCGTCGCAGTCGTCATCGTCTTCGTCGTCGTCGTCGTCGCGGTTGTCGTCGTTGCTGTCGGCATCGTTGTCGTGGTCGTCGCGGTCGTCGTCGTCGTCGTCGTCGTCGCGGTGGTCGTCGTCGTCGTAGCAGGCGTCGTCGTCGTCGTCGTCATCGTCGTCGTCGTCGTTGTCATTGTCGTCGTCGCGGTCTTCGTCACCGTCGTCGTAGCGGTCGTCGTCGTCGTCTTCTCCGTCGTCGCGGTCGTCGTCGTCGTCGTCGTCATCGTCGTCGTCGTTGCAGTCGTCGTCGTCGTCGTCGCGGTTGTCGTCGTCGTCATCGTGGTCGTCGCGGTCGCCGTTGTCGTCGCGATCGTCGTCGTCGCGGTTGTCGTCGTCGTCGCGGTTGTCGCCGTCGTCGCGAACGTCGCTGTCGTCGTGGTCGTCGTCGTCATCGTCGTCGTCGTCGTCATCGTCGGAGTCTTCGTCGTCGTCGTCGTCTTCGTTGTCGTCATCGTCGCCACCGCCGTCGTCATCGTCGTCCAACTAGTCAAACTCGCGGTCGTCGTCGTCGTCGTCGTTGCGGTCGACGTCGTCGTCATCGTCGACCTCATCCTCTTCGTCGTCGCGGTCGTTATCGTCGTCGTCGCGATCGTCGTCGTCGTCGTCGTCATCATCATCGCCACCGTCGTCGTCGTCGTCGTCGTCGTCGTCGTCGTTATAGTCGTCGTCGCCTCGATGATCGTCGTCGTCGTCGTCGCGGTCGTCGTCGTCGTCGTCGATGTCGTCGTCGTCATCGTCCCGGTCGTCGTCGTCGTCGGCGACCGTATCCTCGTCGTCGCCGCGGTGATTTTCGTCGTCGTCGTCGCGATCGTCGTCGCGATCGTCGTCGTCGTCGTCGTTTTCGTCGTCATTGCGGTTGTCGCCGTCGTCGTCGTCGTCGCCGCGTTCGTCGTCCTGTTCTCGTCGTCGTCGTCGTCGTCGTCGCCGCCGTCGTCGTCGTTGTCCTGGCCGATCCCGCGCGCGAAATCCCGCCGAGGGACTCGCACTGCGCGAGCAAAGCGCAGCCAGCATCCACTGCGGGGCGCCCCACGGAGCAAACGCGCGACAAAATACGCCAAGGCCCCCAAAAAGGGCGCCAAGAGGGCCCCAAGAAACCCTAAGACGGAGGGGTCCGAGAGGGGGGATACGAGTTGCCTTTTCGAGGCCCTCCCCCAAAAATGGCCCCAAGAGATCCCCAGCGACCCAGGAGGCGACACCCAGAGGCCCCAAAAGGCCCCCGCGAGACCCAACCTGGGGGGTCGGCAGAATGCCGCAAACCACTTGAATGAACAAATGCCACCGAGATAACAAAACGCAATGACGCACGCAACGCACGTTTCAACTGCGCAATTGGGCAGCACACTCAAGCCGAACGCGCGCGCAACGCGCTGCGCGATGCAGAAGCAAGCACATCAGACGCGATCAGGGTGCCAACCAGGAGGGGGGATGAGGCCAAATCCGCCCAAGATCGGTCCCCAGACCCCTCCCGGGGCACATCTGGTGAAATTGACCCCAAATCTGTTTCTGACGTTCCCAGGGCCCGGAAACGGCACCCGGAGGCAAGGTCCCCCAACAAAAAACCTTCCCGAACCCAGCGCCGTGAATCCCGCCCCCGGTTCCTGCTGGCCAGGACCGGTGCTGGGTCACCCCGCACCTTTCAAGGAGGGTGGGTCGACATCCCCCCGCCCCCCCCCCCCCAGCTCTAAGGGAGGGTGTTCATCTAGGGGGGGCGGGGGGCCCTCGCCTTACTAGAATCCGATAAGTGCTCGATCAACCTCCAATATAATCA